CTCATTAAACTGTGTGCGACCAATGCCCACGGATAGACTTCGAACTTGCACTTAAAACTGTTAGGCCAGGCTGCCTCAAATAAGACTTGCTGATCTGAACTCCAGACATATAGATACAGCTAAAAATAACATTAAACCTTTTGACCTCCGATAGGTGAATAAAACTACTCATAGCCTTTGTTCTATTAGAAGTTGGTAAACTTTTAGTCACGCCTTTACCTCCAACTTATCTACGTCGCTACATGAGTTAGAAAGGCAGGAAATGTTCGACTCAAGATATGAAATACGAATGTGATCATCAGTGAACGATGATAAATACATGTGTGTGTTGGTCGGTAGCCTTAAGCCACCCTGACACTTGCACGAGTTTTCGCCACGATTGTGTTATGGCAAGTCGTGCCATTTCGGTGCACGAACTGGGAGGCTCCCGCACTGTTCACGACTAGGTCACGAATGAGTGCACATTAGTGTCCACATTGACACGAACTTGCACGACGAGTTCACGCATGGTTTGCGCATACTTTACGGACTTCCCGCATTGGCTCGACGAGTTTGCGCAATTCAGACGTGATCTGTTTGTGAACAATTTGTACCAGTTTGTGACAGTTGTGGCATGTCGCGCACTGACACGCACTGGTATGGCACGTGTCCTCCCGCATCGACGAGGTCACGAACAGTTTGTGCATAGTTCACGACCCGGTCGCCAAATTTTGTCGTGACCAACATTTAAAAAAATTCAATGAAATGCAGTCACGACGGGTTTACGCACACATCATGCCAGTTTACGACTAGTCACGCACTGGACTCGAGTCGTTCCAATGCGTGCCAAAGAATCGTGCAAGTGACAGAGTGGTTTTAATCTTCACAAGTTCAAAATTACCAAAGTATAAATTAAAATATTATATATTTTGCAGGCTGCATAATGTGATGCAGACAGCGAATTTTAAACTACATTCATTATAATTTCAATATTTGTTTAAATGTGTTTTGCTATTTAAATATGACTGTTTTAATTTCTATCAATCAATAACATTTCGCAGTATGGCACGGGGTATCTGCATTCTAACATATACAAAAATGTGATTTCTAAATATAGAACAACTTCGTGATATTTACAAGATAGCGGACGTATTTTTTCACCGAGACAGTTTCAATCTTTTTAACCATTTGACTGCAAACTACTCACTCAGACATTGCTTGGACACTTAGACCTCTTCGACGGCTTGGTCAATACTCCAGGTACTAATCAACGTCGATCCCTGTCTTTGACGCCTATAGTCGTTAATACACCAGAGAATCCGCAACTAGACTCAGAACGTATTTCCACGACGATTGAAACATTCATAATTTTAACAGCAAAGCTTATAGCATTTCATTGCATAATTGCATTCAGTTGGCATCGCTAGTAAGGTGATAGGTCATTACGACTGTGGTTTATCATTAACTTTT